TACTATACGGATGTCCTTTTCTACTCTATTACTATACAGACGGCTATTCTCTAATCTATTCTCTATACTAATCCTCTATTCGGATCACTGAATGGATTACTATTCGAGCGAGTATTATCGAGCAAGTACTATTAGTGCGAGTGTTATTCGAAGGCGTCTGGCATCAGTATTGTTCAACGGCGTTACTATAGTTGTATCTGCGATTGCACAGTCTTTACTACAACGAGCATAACGAAAGTGATAACAAGTATTCGTTGGCATCACAAAAAAATGTCAAACAAGTTTTTTGACATCCCAAAAAAACCATAGCCCTATAGTCTGAGGTCTTAATCTGTGTCTCTATATTTTTCTTTTAAATATAAAAATAATTCATAAATTACACGTTTGCTAGCTTGGTGCGTATCTGGTTACCATTCAGGAGAAATAGTACGCAACCTTTCTTTACTTGTAGAATAACTAAAGCTCAGCTGCCCACTTTAAATTTTCATAAGGAAAAATTAGCCATGAAATTTGAAAATATGAAATTTAGGTTTAACATTCCCAAAGATGATTAGCAGTACAGTTTTCATTTAAAAGCTTTCATGGCGATTTTTTTCATTGAGGTCGATAATAACCTATTTAAATCTCTTGAGGAAGGCAAAACGGAAAGTATTTTCCACTCCTTGTTAAAGATTAACAGCATCCAGCTTAACGTATCAAATGACAAAGACTTTACATAGATTTCCAATTTCCTTCGTCTGGTCATCGGTATATCCATCGTGCTATTCATCAGCCTTATCATTTACCAGCGCTAAATAGTGTCACTTACCAACATCGGCATTGACTTCTTCCATTTACCGTGATTCGAACACTTACAGCGGTTTCGGCGATAAACAAATGTTTTTTAAGGAAATTTTCTTTTAAAAATACAATGAATCTTGTAATGTATTGCTTCGCGAAACAATATGAGAAAACCAAAACATTATTAAAGATTAATTAAAGAACAGAAATTAGTAAGGCAGACGATAACGACTGACATTGCATTTTATCTATTTTCTGCTGAAAACCTGCCTGCTTCTAAAAGTTAATGCTTATTTAACGGCTGAACTCCCGATCTGGGGTATGTCCTTCTCCTTCGCTTACAATGGTCGTAAAATATCTATTTTTTGCGGGAAGTCGTTGGTACTCCGGGATAGCTCTTCATAACTAGATGGTCTCTTTGTTTTACCTCTCCGGCGGGCGAGCAATTTAATTAACTTCTTCTAGTTGTTTTTTTCCAATAAAGACATATCTCTTTCTTTCATTTTCTTTTGTCGGGTCATCGGTATATCTTTCAGTCTATCGGAACTTAGTGTGTTTCAGCCTTCTAGCTTTTTTTTTATTTTTATTCAATTAAAAACTATAATCCCTTTCTTCCAATTTCCTTCGTCTGGTCATCGGTATATCCATCGTGCTATTCATCAGCTTATCATTTAGCAGCGCTAAATAGTGTCACAGGCCAACATTGGCATTGACTTCCTCCATTTACCTTGATTCGAAAACTTACAGCGGTTTCGGCGATAAACAAATTTTTTTTTTTAAGGAAATTTTCTTTTAAAAATACAACGAATCTTATAATGCATTGCTACGCTGTCTTTTTGCTCCTTAGGTGGAGATAATGTGAATGCGAGACAATATGATAAAACCAAAACATGATTAAAGCTCAAAGATCAATAAAGGAACAGAAATTAGGAAGGCAGACGATAACGACTGACATTGCATTTAAAATTGTAACTGGAAAGAATCAGATTTGAAGAGAGTTCCTCAAGCCTGAAGTGCAATGGAAGAAACTATTAGCGTAGAACTTACGATTCTAGCCATTTCCATTATAG